AAAGTTTATCCAATTAATTGCAAGTATTTTTAATAAAAGCTATAAATTAGATGACATTTACATAAAAGTGATAAGGGAATATTTTTTCAAGTGTCGGCGTGTGGATGTGCAATTGTGGGTGTGAGAGTGTGTGTGTGCGTTCAAATGCAGTCCTTCAAATCTGTTGTTTCAAATTTGAGTAACTGAAGGTTATCCATAATTGAGAGGTACTTAAATAAAGTGTTGTTTGCAAATATTAATTAAAAGCAATGAGTGTTCATTAGATTGTAGAATTTTGAGAAGAAAATAATTAAGACTTCCTGGGAATAAAAAAGTGGAGATTAATGAGAAGAAAAACTCATTTTTAAAAAGGAAATATTAGTGAATTACATCAGTTGTTAAGAAATAATAGCATTGCACAAAATAGGGTGAAACAGTCAGATAGGGGCTACACTCAATTTTTAGTATTACAGCCTTACCTAAAATTCTCCAGTAAGTCGACGTTTTCCACCACACAAGTAAAACACATATACAGGGTGAGATAAAAAACTGCAACAAAGTCAAACGCCATAATTTTTACATTAAAAATAATATTGAATGAAAAAAATGTCGAAAATAGCATCAAATTTTAGAATAAGTTTAGATTTTTTTGAATTGGTCCCCTTTGGCACGAATTATGGCCTTCAAACAGCCACACGCTGCCCGAATATTGCTCTGCGGTATTTAGGGCACATCATCACCATGGAAGGCGCTTGAGTTGTGGTGGTCAACCGAAGGTGCACATTTTCAGCTGACCTCTTTGTTTGTTTACAAACTGCTGGACAACGAATGTTTTCTCACCGGAAAAAACCAAATTCGGCAGTTCACCACTTTTGGCTAAGCGAAGGAACTCTTTAGCTCTTTTGAGTCTATTTCCGTTCTGTTGCGGTGTAAGTTCTTGCACTGTTTGGAATTTCAATGGCTTAACCCCGAGGTCATTTTGCAATATATGCCGAATGGAATTTTGCGATACGTTCAGCTCACGAGCCGCAGGATTCAATTAAGTCGTTTCTTTACTTTTTGAACCATTTCTGCTGATGTTGCTGTTTTCTTCCCTCCACTTCCTTGACGTCGGGCTACGCTACCAGTATCACGGTAACGAGGGATGGTACGAGACACAAAAGATTTATTCACATTAAATGCTGGAGTGCTCTAACGATAGCCGCTTGTGGTTTTCCTGCCAAATATGAAGAAATCACACCATCACGCTTGAATTCAATCACGAATAACTTTTTTTCTGGAAAATTCGCACCAAAATGCTTTTGTGCACTTGTAAACAATATCACTGGAATAATTTTAACAGTTGTCGGACGAGTGGCAGCAGTCTGAAGTTGGTTGCAGTTTTTTTCATCTCACCCTATATATCATCTTTAGATCTTGTGTTAGCAAATATATTTGTATGTGTGAATTTGGAGAGAGTTGGATGCTTATTTCGTTTTCTTTGATCGTTTTGTTTTTCAAAATCTTGAACCTCTTTGTGAAGAAGTTACCAGAACGGTCCGATCTCTACGATCTTTATAGAAGAAGATGAAAATATTAAGATGTATCAAGTCTGGAATAGAATCGCGTTTAATGAGCTTAATGGATATTAAAAATTTTACCCTTTGTGGGGGAGGTACCAGAAGGGGTGAACCGATATATTCCATCTTCTCATCCGACCTTGGGTTGATAAAAATCTAGTGATGTGTGTATTTTGAAGACAATCGGACTCTTACATCACTTTTTAAAAGAGTTAAAAGTATTCAAAATTTTGACCCCTCGTATGGGAGGTACTTGATGGAGTGGACCGATACAGTCAATTTTCCCACCTGAAGTAGCATTGATGAAAATACTAGAAATATTTTTTGAAAATGTCGATATTTTGTGGGGGAGGTACAAAAAGGAGTTGACCGATATTGCCCCTCTCCGAAGTCGACCTAAGTTTTATAATAATATTACGATGTAACAAGTTTAGATCAAATCGGAGAGCCTTCGCGCGCACCAACTAGACAGACAGGTGGATGGACATCGATAGATCGATTCCAAATGGATTTGGTCCATTTTGGAAATGAACCAGAAGGACCGGACTATATATTCCTTATCTACATCAAATCTCTAGTTGAGAGAAATATTCAAATACTCCAAGAATCTCTGACTTTTTTCGCAAGTTATGATAAATATAATAATTAACAAGTGTGACTCTTTGTGGAGATGATACCAAAAAGTGGTGGGTCGATTTTTATCACTCATTAGTAAAAGAAGAACATTTGGGGGTTACTTTCCATTTTATGATTGTTTTAGATATTCGAAATTTTGACCCTGTGTAGGGGAGGTACAAGAGGGAGTGAGCCGATATATGCAATAGTCACACTATTTCTTGTGTAAATAAAGATAATGAGATGTGAAGAATCGAATGCTTACTTCGGATTTTATGAGAGACATAATTATTCAAAATATTGACCCTTTGTTGGTGAGGTACAAGAAGGAGTGGGTCAATATCTACCATCTTCACAACAGATCTTGTGTTGATAGAAATATTGAGATGTGCCGATTTCGAAAGGAATTCGATTCTCATTTTGTGTTTTAAAAACTTCATTGAAATTCAGAATGTTGACCTGTTATGGGGGAGGTATCACAAAGAGTGGAGCGTATACCCCGTCTTCTAACCAAAAGATCTAATAATAAAAAGTTAAAATAATCGAACTCTTATTTTACAATACATAAGATTTATAATTATTCCAAATGTTGACCCTTTGTGGATGATGATCGAGTGGGCGAAATGATCGCCCATGACCTAGCACTGACAAAAATATTGGGATTGCAAAGGTTCAACAAAAATTAATGATCCTTTCTCGTTCTCTGAGATAAATTATTGTCTATGAAAATCTAGGAGGTACCAGAAGCAGTGGATCGATATTGCCCATCTCCGAACTCGATCTAAGTTTGACAATATTATTACGTTGTTTATGTGGATCAAATCGGATACTCCCCTGGTTAGAGAGTTATTGTCCTCACCAGCCAGACAGACGGAGGGATGATCCCTAGATCGACCCAAATGTCCTGAAACGGATTTGGTCCAAAGAGACCTAGGGTCTAATACCGTTATTTTGATGAGACACGTTTTTAACGTATCAAATGATGTAGGCAGTATAAAAAATAGAATTGATTGGAACTTATGGCTCCCTTGTAGTCATTGCACTATGATTCAATTTGATGTTTCCACAATTTGATTTGATTTTTAATTGTCCACTGTTGTTATAGTGGACAATTAAAAATTCTTATAACACCTACAGGGTGAGATAAAAACAAACTGCAACAAACTTCAGACTGCTGTCATTTCTAAGTCACTCGTCTGACAGCTGTTAAAATTATTCCAGTGTCAGCTAATTATATTGTTTATAAGCGTACAAAATCATATTAGTGAGAATTTTCCCGACAAAAAGGTTATTCGTGTTGGAATTCAAGCGTGATAGTTTAATCTCTTTATATTTGGCTGGAGAACCAGAAGTGGCTATCGTTAGAGCACTCCAGCATTTAAATGTGAATAATCTATCTTTTGTGTCTCGTACCATCGTTCCTTACCGTGATTCTGGTAGAATAGCCCGACGTCAAGGAAGTGGACGGAAAAACAGCAACATCAGCAGAAATGGTTCACAAAGTAAAGAAGCGACATGATCGATACCCGCGTCGCAATGGTCGAAAAATGGCTCGTGAGCTAAACATATCGCATAAGGCCATTGAAATTCAAAAAAAAAATTGCAAGTATTAAAGCCTTAGGCACGCAAACATTTTGGCCGCAGACCTAGGACATTCCAACAGGACTCAGCACCATCGCACTCAGCACGCGCCAACCAAGAATGGTTACAAAATGAAGTTCCTCGCTTCATTTCCAGCTCACTATTATGGCCACCAAAATCTCCGGATACCAATCCGTTGGACTATTGTGTCTGGAGTATTTTGGAAAGGAAGATTGGCACTAAAAAATACCAAAGTGTCGATCACCTCAAGCAAGCGCTTCATCGGGAATGGGTCAAAATACAGCAGAGCAAAATTCGGGCAGCGTATGACGGTGTCATAGGCCGTTTAAAGGCCATAATTCGTGCCAAAGATGACCAATTCGAACAAATCTAAACTTTTTCTAAAATTCGATGCTATTTCCGAATTTTTTTGATTTCATTCAATAAAATTTAAAAAGAAAATGTAAAAATTATGACGTACCCTTCTGGTACCTCCCCCCATAGAGGGTAAATATTTCAAATACTTTTACCTGTCATAACTTGCGAAACAAGTCAGCGATTCTTCACAACTTGCTATATCTAAATATCTAAATATTCTCAACCAGAAACCTAAAATGAAAATGGAATTGATGATTTCGCATCAAATTGAATTTAGATGTTCGATTTTTTTGTAATTTAGCCAACATCCCTATTTTAAACGGTATTAGATGAAGTATAAAATTGAAATACTTCGGTCGAATTTATCTCGTACTTCACACACATTTTTACATTTTTAAAAAGTATCAAGTTAACGAAGTGACCAATAAAGACCAAACCTTGCACGTCACAATATTTATATCATTTTTATTTAGGTCCGATACGAATTGGCCAATATTATCCAACTGCTTCGGAACCTAAACCATAAAGGGTCAAAAGTTTGGATAATCATAACATAATACATCTGTTTGCGAAACCGACTGATGCTATTTTATTCATATTTACCAAAATCGTCTAGCTACTACCTTAGTTTGAATATATTTAAATATAATTTTGTAATATCCTTTAATGGCCCCACTAACTGGACTACAATTCTACTTGTTTGTCTATTCACACATATTTTTAAAATGTAAATTCAAATCTGAATATTGTAACGCATAGTCTCTGTGGTCATAATTCACAATAGCTATCATTCACAATAATAAACAACAATAGCAACAGGGTTGCATTTGTTTTAGTACACAAATGATTGCCATGCAACCACTCTGCTCTGCTGTACTAAAACACATATGTTGTCTATTGTTGTTGCTGGCCGGCATTCAAAGCATTGATTGTATTTATTATTTTTCTCTAGATAAAATTAAAACTATATTTCTATAAATACTCCAATAATGTCCAATATAGTGCAATATGTTATTGTTCGCAGTGATTTAAAGTCTGTACTCGGATGGCCTTTGGGTGCCGTCATAGCACAATGCTGTCATGCCTCGACAGCGGTAATGCATTTACATCGAGATGATGAGGCTACCAAAGCGTATGTGGATGATTTGGATAATATGCACAAAGTGGTACTGGGCGTAAGTAAATATATGAGATCCTTCCATAAATCAAGTAAATAATTTTAATGTGTTCTAGGCGAAAGATGAAGAAGCTCTGCGCAAACTTTCACAGAAGTTAACCGAAAATGATATTAAGCACAAAATGTGGATAGAACAACCGGAAAATATTCCAACATGTATTGCCGTAAAACCCTATGCAAAAGATGATGTTCATAAGTTTGTTAAAAACCTGAAATTGTTGAAGGAATAAATATATTGTGATATAGGACATTGAGACAAAGGAAATTATGGATGATTTTCTTTTGCAACATTCATGTGCAGCAGGAAAGTATTGCCGGAGGAAGGAAAACTTAGAAACTATTCGAATCGAAGTTTATGTGCATGATTTCATTTTGGCTTGCTCCTGGGGGACCTCAGTCAACTGTATATGTAAAGAACAAAGTTCGATGAGATTCGTGGCTGGACTCAGATTTTTCGGAAAATTTCTTCACATATGGTACTCGGAAAGCGATATGTGACTTAAATCGAAGAAGTCCATGGTTGCGAGGTATAGAGCCTAAAAATCGCAAAAAAAAGTTCTGTTTCGTATTGATGTATAGCCCACCATAAGCTGTGAGAAATATGCTAAATTTTATTGGTAAAAAACTTTGTCAATTTGCCGCTTTTAGAATCTGGTGAAAGTATTACTTCCCAGTGTAATTCTGGAAACAGAAAGGCTTCAGTTAAAAAAAAAAGGAATTTCAAAGCGGGTACATAGAAGAGTTTGGACGACCTTAAGAAAAAATGCAAGTAGGGCCGCAATGGCTACTTGGCTAACTAAATAATGTACTTATCTTAATTGTAGCCTATTTTTGGGGATGGTAGTATAAAACTATATTGCGAGGAAATCACATATACTCATTTATTACACAACTTTGATATCCAGCATATTGTGTATAAACTTGAATTCAGTACACATGTGGGTTGTACGCAGATTAAACCTATCGTTAACTTATTTGCTTCACAAATCTTGAATCCGCTTATTGATTTCCTGTACCTATACATTTCTTTGACATATTATCATCTAAGTAATTTAATAGTAAGTAATTTAATATAGTGCGGAAAAGGCCATACATAACTCGACATTGAAATTCCTAATGAGTAACGTTCCTCGGATCCATACATATTTTGTAAATGGGTATAATTTCACCAGCAAAAATGAATTCATAGAAAAATGCTATAACTCATTATTCAAATCGTATAATATGAAGGAGTGTGAAGGAGGCATGTGTATTAATATGCCCATAAGTTTAAGCTACTATTGTCCAAAATTTTTTAACGAACATTTCAGATATCAAGGCCTTGTGTCAACATCCTATCAAAAAAGTTGAATTTTTAACCTAGGGGTTAGAGTCAGAAAGATACAAGAAAAGATTAAGGATGTGTTCCGATTTACGTTACAAAACGGTCGACAAGGACAAGATAAGAAAAGAAGCACCTTTAACTGAAATTTTAATCATAATGAGGACTATATTTTTGGCTCAGAAATATATAGGTATATATATTTTTAATCCATCAACACTTTGTGTTGGTTGATTCAAAATGTTGTCACACCTCGAAATATTGGTGCTTGACTCCGGATGTTATATATCTATCTTCCCAACTCGCCGAACTGAGACGATGTTGCTATGTATGTCCGTATTTGTGTAATCACGCAAGGGAGTTAGTATAGAAGCATTTTGTTGAGGGAGATGATCGAAAAATATTAAGGGGATGAAATGGACCAACAGCTTTTTGCAGTAGCTCTAATCGAATGAACGTAATCGCATAATCGTTAGCGGGTAAAATGGACCATAACTTTTGTTTGAAAAATTGCAAAATTTCCTTTCAACCGAAATTTTTTTTATACTGAAAGCCCTTTTTTACATTTTTCAAAATGGAGAATTTGGAAAAAACAATTCACACCAAATTAATTCACAAAAATTCTGATCTGAAATATATATGTGGTAATCATAATATAATAAAAATAATGACTACACTATACTCATTTTTGGCAAATTCAGATAGGGCAGATATACAGAGTGTCATGGGAGTAGTCCATCTTTGAACATTGTTTGATAACATTATCTTAAAATGTTCCCATAGGGAAAAGGCACAACGATATCGTCCACTTTCGCCCTAAATTAAAATTTGATTAAAAAATACGATGTGAGAACTTTGAACTACACAGCTGTCTCTCAGCTGTGCCTTTTTTAAAAATATGTCGATTAAGTACGATAAATAACTGATTAATTCAGCTCTATTACAAAAAACTATACTAGTTGACACTTTTTCAAAGAATTTTGACGAAAATGTCAAATTAGAAAATAACATGAAAAAGTACCTCGAAATATATAGGAGACCCTAATACAATATTTATATTCCTCGTCAATTTGTTGAAATCACTATAGAGCACGCATTGAACAAGCATTTATATTATTCCGAGGACGCCTCCCATATAATGGGACTTTATGCTTTTTAGTGCTCTATAGGTTTCTGGCCAAATTTTGAATTTACTCCTCACAAAAACCGTAATTAGAAGTTCTCTCTCCTTATCAGACCAGTAAAAATACTATATTTTAGTTATTCAATATAGGTATACGACCACATAACAAAACTTCCGAAAGTAAATAGGTATAAACAATCATTTCCTCCCCCATTCCTTGCGGAATATAAATCCTCCCCTAAGGTAAGACAAAAAGTTTAAAATGAGATTATTAGACATTATGTTTTAAGAAAGTAACTATGTAGGAATTGTAACGACAGGAAGAGAATGGATGGCAAAAAAACAATACGAGTTCAATTTATACCTCCTCTGGAAAAAATTAGAAATTAGTACAAATGACAATAACACATTTTGGGACGGACATGTGATTTATTCATTTAATTTCAAAGCTCAATGGCAATATGTGAAAGAAGCTTCATTGAATTCTGATATTCATGAGGACAACAAATAGAAATTTGAACTTACCTTTATGTTACTATTGTGCATTGTAAACTTGACGAACTTTGGGAAACTACAAGAATAATTTTTGCGTTGTTTTTTTGCGAAATCTGTAGTACACCTACTTTTACGATTTTAGAGGCTAGATTTGATATAATACGTCCTGGTGGCACTGTCCTTTATTAAACATATGTGTAAATATTGCTTTGCATTCACAATTTAAGGGAAAATTGCTAAATATCATATTATATGGAGCTTTAGGGTACTTTGAAAAAATGGCGGGAATATGATTACGTCCGTTTAGCAACAGGAATACACCAAAGGTAACTCGAAGCGACAATTATCACGAAACCGACAAACCTCACAACATTACGAACGACACAATTTATAATTTTTATTTCAACCGATCAATAACAGATAAATTGATTAACTTTTAGGTAAAAATGAGCACACGCGTTGGATTTATATGTATATCAATGAAAAATGAAAATACAACGCATTGAAAAATTGAAATTGAAGTCACAAAGAAAAATATGAATTCACGAATAACAGTTCTCTGTCATGTAAACAAACAGACTAAAAAGAGCAGGGTTGTATTTGATATTGCAATGTGCGGTTAAAGAGACATTAGACTGAATGATTTATTTTGGTTTGGTGGATTCAAAATAAAGTGCCAATAAATCATTTGAATTTAAACGGAATTGTTGAAATTTCTATACTTTGATTTTGTAACGGATTCCACCTTCTGTGGCAAAAAATTGTCCATATGGGTTCACGGTTTCTTATAGCCCACACATACCAGTTCCTCCCAGTATTCCGTATTTGTATGATTTAAGCCGAATTTTCAAGCGGAATTATTTTAAATTCGGCACTTTGAGTTAGTAATGGGCTATACCTTCTTTGGCAGATCATTGGCTATACATGTTCACATTCAGCTATAGTGACACATGTTTCAGTACTTCCCCAAATGTGGTTTTCGTATGATTTTAACTACATATTTTCAGGAGAATTTTTTAAAAAGACTGCTGAAGTAGGCTCATTTTTCTTTCATCACTAATAAGGCGATACCTCCAAATACGAACGATGACCGTCTGTCTGTTGAAATCACAATGCAGCCCACATAACTTGACGTAGAGCTTTAAAATTTGGCACAACAATGTGAATTATGTCTAGGATGGTTGGTATTGAAAATCAGATATATCGGTCCGCATTTTGGTATAGCCACATTTTGGTATATATAACGGTACCTTCCGATATTCCGTATTTTGATGATTTTGCTAATTTTTTCACGGATTTGTCTAAAAATTGGTATTTGTAGGTAATAATATGTTCTAGCTCCGGTGGCGGAAAATTGTATGTATAACTCCTCGTTTTTGTATGGCCCCCATATAACTATACCTCCCGATATTCGTAATTTTGATGATTTTTACAACATTGTTCCACGGACTGGTCTAAAAATTGGTGTTTGTAGTTCGCAATGGATTCTAGCTCCAGTGGCGGAACATATTATATATAGGTCCACGTTTTGGTATAGCGAAAATATAACGATAACCACCGAAATTCGATATTTTGATAATCCTAATCATCTTTACCCACGAAATTGTTTCAAATTTGGTAGATGACAATCCTTGAAGTATAAAATTGCCGATAGAGTTTCCCATTTTTATATGGCCCCCATGCAACAACCTCACCCACTGGATGGTTTTTTGAAACACGTTTAAATGCAGATACTTTTATATAAAAATGTTTTCTTTATTAAAAATGGTGGAATGGTATTTTTCTTTTACTTGTTTAGATAAGATTTGGATTTTGGGATTTTAAATTTTTTATGGGACTGACATTTTAAAGCTTATCTGACATTTTAAGTTCTTTATAGGAGAACATGTATTCTCAGGAATTATTCGGTTTATGTTTTGGAATAGCGCCATATAATGGTAACCCCAAATGCATCACTGAAAATTTATCATTTGAATTACAATTGATCTATTCCAGAACTGTAACAATGTTTCCTACGGTAACCAATACCCCTTTATGATACAGAAAATTATTGCAAAACTAGTAGAATCTTGCAGGTTTTGGAACAGACCAATTTTTTGCAAGCCTTAGTATATGGTACTATCCATGGAAGAAGAATACATGTAGATGCAACAACGCATGGGGACATTGACATGTCAACAATTTTAAAATGCTTTGTTGAAAATAAGTAGATTTTTAGATGATTTCTTATACGACACAAATAGGAGGTTGTTATGAAATGCATTTCTCAACAATTTATACAAATTTCAATAATTTTTTATTCAGAATTTTTAATTCCAAAACTGGATTGACAGTTCATTGTCCCAACTGCTGCGTCGATGAGACTACCTATAATCTTCTACCATGGTACTATCCCAAATCAAATTTTGAACAGCTGATTCTGCCATAATTAAATTGTTCACAGGGTGATATTATAAAAAGTTCTGTCCGGCCGAACTTACCCCCATTTTAACTTTTGTTTGCCTTCAACATATATTAAATAAAAGAACTCCCTTTTATTTGTTTTATTTATATATAATTTATTTATTTATTTATACTTTATTGCATATGTTTATATCGTTTGTATTAAATAACTAATGTGTCTATAAATTTATGCTGAATATATTCAAAGTAATTTCATAGATTTTTTCCGTTTCATTCTCTTAAAATTTCACATATGAAAAATCTAACTAATTTCAATAAAATACTTAAAAACTACAAAATATATCAAATAAAAGATTCACATGTTTACGAAGTAGTATTATTTATGCGTGTGTCTATGAATAATAAATGTAACAAAAATAAACAAGACGAAAATATAAAAGCGAATGTTATGACACAGTTGAGAAAACAGTTGAAAATGCTCTGTTCCATCGAAAAAATGCAAAAAGAGTTTAAAATTATTAAAATAAAGTGAAAAAATCAACTACAATTTTACAATAATTCAATAAAAAATACGTTCGTATCGTAAAACTATGAGTAAATCGTAAAAATTATTTTATTAAAATGTCATATTGCATAAAATTATTGGAGTTAGTGTTGTTTGGATTTAATTGAATACATTATTAGTTGTTTGATTTAATTTCATATTAAATTATTGCAATTGTATTGAAATTAGGCAAATGTTATATTCATCACTTATGGGCTATATTTTAAATAGTGAAAATAGTTTTTTTTTTTAAATTCTTAAAATTCATTTAACTTATTTCGAAACTTAGTAAAGCTTTTAACAAAATGCATTACAAAATATATGTATGTTCTTTTTTCTCGTTTAATTTCTTATATAATAACAATTAACTTTTCTCTATAAAATAACAATACTTATGGATTCTCCTTAGAAAAGATTCTTTATTCAATTGTTGTTGTTCTTAAATCTAAAAAAATATTTAAAATTTTTGTTAAATTGTGGGAATAAAAACGAGAAAATATTGCATAGATTGGTGTGGTGTTGTTGTTGTGTTTTGAAAGCTGCTCTTCACTTCAATTCATTAGCTGTGTGTGTTTTAAAGCTCTGTGTTGATTGGTGATTGACAAGAGAGGGGCAGGGTTTTGTAGGTTTTCTGGGGATTTTTTTGCAATCTATCTACGCCGTATCTTTGGCATACTCTTGATTATGCGTATAACCTCTTCCCTAAGCCATTCTTCCCAGTTGTCCTGTAAAAAGATTAGTGATAATAAGTAAATATGTTTTATTCTAGAAATATTAAAAACAATTTGATTTTTATTTTTTAAATTTCAGGAATATTTTTAAAATGAAACAAAGTAGAATGCTCTGAGTACAGATATCGTTTGAGTTTTTTAACAAAGCTTTAAAATATTAACAAATTATGTTTGTTTTAAAGCTTCAAAAATGTCTTCATATCAAAAAGCTGAAAAACCTAGTAGTCATTCCCTTCACAGGGATGAAATCAATCATATCGGTAGCGTTAGTAAATATTACAAAGCTGCCAGTTTCGTTTTGAAAACCTTTGCTCTCTGTAATAGAGAGTAATATAAAGTTGAGCCAATCAGCTATTAAACATTTTTTTAGTATATGTGACAAGAACTGTTACATACTAACCACGATATTCAATTTTTTTATTTGTTGAAATAATACAATTTTCGATGATTTTTTTTTATGATAAAACTAGTAAAATGTAGAATTTTTAAATTTACTCTAAGAGAACTGTTTCTGACAACTCCGCCACGAAGAGTGAATATTTTAAATATTCATAATACCTTTTTGAACTTTTATTCGGAAAATAAGCTGAATGGAGGGATAAATTTTTACCCTCTTCCACATTTTGTCTAAATTTTTAAATTAAGATTTCTTGAAATCCATACATTTTAGGAATATAGTGTTTTCGACAATATTTCAGATAACAACACGAGGATTATTTTGGCTCAAAATGTTAACCCCTAAGCGAGTCAGCAAAGAGGCATTTTTCCTTTTCTTCACAAAATAATTAAAACACACTTTAAACGGGATAGTAGCCAGTCAAAATATTATAAACAATAAATATTTATAAAGGGTGTTTTTTTTTAAGCTAGATAGAACTTTAAATTGCAAAAAGTAACACAAAAAATTAAATTTTGATGAAACTTTCTGATAAATCATCATGAATAGACTCACGCTTGAACAACGCTTCGAAATTATCCAAATTTACTTTGAAAACCAAATGACCCGTTGTTTTATCTCAAAATTGTTAATAAACAAAATTACCGCATATGGAGTGAGACCAATCCACAAAATGACGCCGGAGCTCGCGTTACGGTCAATGGAGATCGTTACTGCACCATGCTCAATAATTTTTTGTTTAAAAATATGGATGACATTGATCCGGAGGAGATGTGGTTTCAACAAGATGGCGCTACGTGCCATACGGCGAACGCATCTTAAACAGTGCAGTTAAACTTATCAAAAAACTATAAAGTGAGTGAGACCGTTGTATGGGGAACCTCTATAGACAATTTTATTCTTCTAGGATTGCCATCAAATATCTTCTTAAATATCAAATTTCAAACAATTTCGTGGTAAATGTGACTGGGATTATCAAAATACCGTGTATTGGTTGGTATCGTTTTATGTGCGCTATAGAAAAACGTGGACCTACATTTTCAATGTTCTAAAAGAGGAGCTAGAACTCATTATGAATTAAAAATATCAATTTGTAGACATATCCGTGAAAAAATGTGGCAAAAATCATCAGAATACTGAATATCGGGAGGTGCCATTATGTAGGGGCTATACAAAAACGTGAATTTGTACGTAATATGTTCCGCCACATGAGATAGAACCTATTAAGAATTACAAATACTAATTTTTGGACAAACCCGTGGAAAAATCATCAACCACCGACATCTATATCGTCAAATAATGTGGGCTGTATCGTGATTCCAACAGACAAACAGAGGGACATCGTTAAATCGGCATAGAATTTTGTGCTAATCATGAATATATAATGGTCTAGCACGAATTTTTAGGGATGTTACAAATGAAGTGACAAAGTTAATATACTCTCCTTTGAAGGTGTAGGGTAGAGGCTTTCAGGACAGCATGAATTGGACCGATCATGTATGGCAGTATTTTAATGCAATTATTTTCCGAAATAACAAAGATTGTACCGAAGGAGTATATTGATATTTCCTACCTTGGGTTACTAAATATATTATGATGTGAGAAATTTGAAGACCATCGGGCACTTATGACACATTTTATTAGAGTTATAATTATTCAAAGTGTTGACCTTTGTGGGGAATATTGTCCATTTTCTCCCCTGACTTAGCACTGATACAAAAATTGGAATTGGAAGTTTGAACCAAATTTAATCTCTTTCCAGTCAAATATTCTCTTTGAAATGTTGATCTTTTGGGGGGAGGTACCAGAAGGAGTGAACCGTTCGGCCCATCTTCGAACTCGGTCTAAGTTTCATAATGGTATTACGATGTACCAAGTTTGGACCTAATCGAAAGTTATCGTGCGCACCAGCCAGACAAACGGACGGACATCGCTAAATCGACTCTAAGAGACCTAGAATCTAAAGCCCTTATTTGGATGAGACACGCTTTGGCCGTATCAACTGATATTTACCCACTCTAGCCATATGGCTGAGGATATAAAAACGCCCAGGAAAAGTTAATCTAAAAAATTACGAATAATTTTCTCGTTTTCTTTGGAAAATTTAAAGAAATGTTTTCTTAATATCAAATGGAAATAGTTATATCTTTTCTTTGGTGGCTTATAGCGACATGTAATGGAGAACATTTTTCCCTTTACACTTTTTTTTACCAACAATTTTAGTACTTTGGAAGACTTTGACACAGATTAGAAACATATTGTTACCAGAATAAAATAGACCCATAATTTTAACTTCTAATATATAAATTTCGAATATAAGTTTAAATAAATAAATATAATAACAATAACAATAATAATAATAATAATAATAATAATAATAATAATAATAATAATAATAATAATAATAATAATAATAATAATAATAATAATAATAATAATAATAATAATAATAATAATAATAATAATAATAATAATAATAATAATAATAATAATAATAATAATAATAATAATAATAATAATAATAATAATAATAATAATAATAATAATAATAATAATAATAATAATAATAATAATAATAATAATAATAATAATAATAATAATAATATAATAATAATAATAATAATAATAATAATAATAATAATAATAATAATAATAATAATAATAATAATAATAATAATAATAATAATAATAATAATAATAATAATAATAATAATAATAATAATAATAATAATATAATAATAATAATAATAATATAATAATAATAATAATAATAATAATAATAATAATAATAATAATAATAATATAATAATAATAATAATAATAATAATAATAATAATAATAATAATAATAATAATAATAATAATAATAATAATAATAATATAATAATAATAATAATAATAATAATAATATAATAATAATAATAATAATAATATAATAATAATAATAATAATAATAATAATAATAATATAATAATAATAATAATAATAATAATAATAATAATAATAATAATAATAATAATAATAATAATAATAATAATAATAATATAATAATAATAATAATAATAATAATAATAATAATAATAATAATAATAATAATAATAATAATAATAATAATAATAATATAATAATATAATAATATAATAATAATAATAATAATAATAATAATAATAATAATAATAATAATAATAATAATAATAATAATAATAATATAATCTTGCAAAGTGGATTAAAAATACAGACTTTGGTGATTTCGTTGAGGTTAAATTTATTCAGTAACTTTGGAAAAGACACCATAAACCTGAAATGTAAGCTTTAACAATTATAAAAGTAGCAAATCTCGGCCTTGTCGAAATTTAAACACCCTTCACTATTTGAGAGGAACTTGCAAAATTTAGGAAAAAATCCATTACAATGATTAAAATACAGAATATAGGGTTGCACGGTTTTATGGGCGTCTTACGAAAATGAGGGTCTATGTTTAAAATTTTCTATCAAAAAAGATAATACCTAATGTCAACATATCAGAAGGTAACTGGGGAATTTCCCATTGGTGTACACCTGTATTGGAAATTTTCTGTAATAGGATGTGGTATCCATTACGAAATTCAAATATCAAATATTAAATAATTCCAGGGAGTTATATGGGGACTACACCTAAACGTGGACCTGTGTATACAAATCGCTCATTTGAATATATGGAATATTTAACTTTATACTTTATATACAGGTTCCGTTTTATACAGAGGGTACGATTCAGTCTTAAGCTTACCTCTACCTCTTTAGATTTTTTTGGCGATTTTTTCTTTAAACAATAATATTTTTTCTCATTCTCATACTTTGTTTCATAATAAAAAAATATTAAAATTTCAAAATTGTTACCAATTGTTAAGAAAAAGCATTAAATATTATTAATTGCAAAAATTATACTTTACTGTGTGTTAAGAGAGTATTACAGCCTCCACCGTGAAGTAGATAACAAAACATCGAACATTTAGGCGATGAGTTCTAAGGTGCTTGGTGTTGTTGTTTTTGTTATAGTAGTTGTTGGGTTAAGATAGTGATTTAAATTAGTAAACAAATATATAAATAAAAAAAATTAAAAATAAATAAAAAGGGTTAGAGAGACAAAAATACAATAAGAGTTTTCTTTTTTTTTTCCTATTTTCCTCCCACTCCATTTCAATTGGCTGTTAATTGGAAATGTCACTCGGTGTTGAGGAGATGTGTAAAAACAGCAGGTGCTAATGGTTTGATGGTGTGCGAGATAAACGCATGGCTAAATGTAAATGCAGCAAAGTCGGCTTGGTCGAATGTTCGGAGATTTATGATGGCCGGGGGAGTTTGACATGACAAGAACAGAATCATTGTTTTATGGGAGCCCCTGATGTTTTTTTTTTCGTTTTTTGATGTTGTTCTTGTTTGTTTGTAATTCTTGTTAAACATTATTGTGTAGCGTTCCTTTGTTGCCTGCAAAAGGGGCTTTTAGCACATTTATGATGCATTGCATTGTCTCCGTGTTTAGCTATTTCTTTCATTTGTGTTTATCGTTTACTTTGCCTTGTCTTTTTTTCGAATTTCTTTTCCATTGAAAATAATTTTAATCGTTGTGTAAATTATCTTGATATTCATCGTATTCATCTTCGTTTTCATTTTGTTCCTCCTCCTCTTCTTCCTGTTCATAATCGCTGGCATTATTGCTCTCGGGACCGGTGACATCGGGCAGATAATCCTTGTGCACCGGTGTTGAGATAACCGTTTCCTAAAGGATATCGTTCAATGTTGCAATAATGGTGCGGTGTGGGGTTGTTGATGTTGTTATTGGGTGCAAAAAGGATGTTAGCCACAAATAGAAAAATACAAAAAAAATTGCAAAAGATGTTAGTAAACCAAACAAAACCACAAAAATTAGAAAGCATTAATGACATGAAACTGCTAAAATTTTAAAGCGAGGAATTTTTTGCTTTTCGTTTTCGAAAACAAGGAACCAAAACCAATTAGGATCGAGGGAAGGGGCAAGGAAGCTTATTTTATGTGAGGCATGTGTAGCAAAATTGGTTGCTGCTTATGTTTTTGTGTGATGTGGATGTGATGGATGGTTTTGCTTATTTTGGAAATCATGCTAACCTTTGGCGGTCTCCAACCACAGCCCGGCAATGGCAGGCCATCAGAACCCAATGGACATGGGGCATCCAGGCCGGGTACACCTTGTTCGCCTTTATCACCACGATCACCTTTGCGGCCACGTTTACCCGGTGGACCGGGATCTCCTCGGGAGCCCTTTTCACCGCGAGGTCCCTCCTGGCCGGGTATGCCATCGGTACCCTTTGGTTTTATTTCATATTTTATATATTTTTTTTACAACACAGACATTGCACATTATTATTATTTTTTTGTTAGTTATATAATCAAGAAGTGGGGAAAAAAGGGGTGTAAAGTTGAAAGAGAAAAAAGAAAAATTTGAAAATAAGTTTTTTTTTAAAGACCATTTAGGCATGCAGCAAACACATCTTTTGTTTCAAATTGTTTCCAAATTTCCAACACTTACCGGTAGACCAGGATCGCCACGTTCACCCTTTATGCCAGTTTCACCTTGAGCGCCCTATTAAAAATATTAAATGTTAAGATATTGTAAAACGCATTTATTTTTAGATTTCCAAACTCACCTTCATGCCATCTAGACCAGGTGGACCCTATTTTAGCGAATAGTTAATTGAAATAAAAAGAACAAAAAAAAAATCGAAATTAAAAAAAAATAATTCAATTAAAAATAAATAAAGTGATTTTTAACCAAAGTAAATAAAATAAATTTGACAAAACTACAAAGCAAGCAAACATGCCCAACACAAACATAGAAATAATATGCAATTAATTTAAAAATATATAACAAAAAATATTATGAAATAAATATATTTAGAAACAAAAATAGTTTTAATGTTGTTGCAAAAATTAGTTTGGTTTAATATATATTCTCAATTTGGAAATCAAAAAAAAAAAAAAAAAAATAAATAAATAAATAAATTAAATAAAAAAAGAATAAATAAAGTATATGTTTTATATTTTGACTTGTTTCTGTGTGATAATACGAAAATGAATGCGAAAAACATTTTTTTTTCAATTTTTATTTAACTCAAAAATCAAAAATTAAAAAAAAAACATTTAGTTTTGTATCCTAATACAGAATCAATCATATCATCCCTTAAATATAATATAAAGCATGAGGAATAACCGATTTGGCTGAATCTAAGTACATCCTAATATTTTTTATAAACTTAGATCAGGTGAGAAAATCGACAATATTAGCTCACTTCTTTTGGTACCACATCGACCAAGGGTCAATATTGCCAATGTAAGACCTTGTGTGAAAATTGGATACATATGTTTCCCCCTTGTCCGGTATTATCAAACAAAACCTAACAATCATAATAGGAAGGCATTTGTGCAGCAGAAGCTCGCAAGGCTGCCAGGCTGATAATGGCCTTTGGCTGGCATCACCCGAAAGAACAACAATAAATGTTATTTGAGCGATGAGGAAAATAATTGGGTTCCCTGGACTGCGATTATCCTTCTCAGAAGGAGATCTATAGTGAGCTGTTAAAAAGGAAAATCAGTGTCCCACATATCGGAAATTCAGTAGCTCCATAAAGGAAATCACTAATGTGGAGATATTGAGTGCAATTTCTTCGAAAATTTTAAAGTTAATCAAGAAGAGGTAATGCGATTCCTATTTAAGGGCATCTGTGTAGACTTTGACTTATGTAAGCAGAACCGGAATCAGGGTCGAATTCGATATCTATAACCAATATCGGTAAATACAGGAGTTGGCAAATATACAAGATTAATGCAATACCCATTTTCGTACTCCGACTTAAGATACAGATCCCAGATCTATCTGTTGTAACTGGATTTCGCAGCCTTTGTCAAAACTAAAAAAAAAAATTTTATTAAATACCACGATTTTTCCAAAACTGAGATCTATGTAAGTTTGACAAAGGATTTCACATTTCGTTATATGACTTTTTTTTAATTCTCAGACTTTTTTAATTTCCTTAACGAGTTCATTGAAATTGGTGTGGAAATCCAAAAGCCGTGTCCCTGTGTCGAGTAGGCTTACCCAATTGATACAATGACAATGGCTATCTACAGTGTGGCATGTATAGTCAGATCCGGCTTGATAAGATTTGGATATGCATAGATCCTAAATTGAGATAACCTTTTTAAGGTTTTCAATATAGAATACCATTAATGGGTATATGACCTTCTAGAACTTCTCTATGGCAAGAAACTTTTAAAGTAGCTCTTCTACAAGTCGTCTATGGTAGGGCACTTAGAGGAGATAGAGGACCTCCAGAAGGTCTTCTATGAAAGAAGACCTGGGTAAGGAAGACCTTCCTATGCAGAAAGGACTTTTACAGGCCATCTTTGGTTAGAAGGTCTTGTGCAGATCTTCTATAGTAAGAAGTAGAAACAGTTCTTTTTTGGCCAGAATAACTATTCATAAATAACATTCTATATATCATTCATGGCAGGAAGATTTTCTACCGTCCTTCTAAATATAGAAGTAAGTCCTTCTGCAGCTCTTCAATGGCCGAAAGATGGGCCATATGCCACATATGTTTCTAAATCCTTCTACAGGTCTGCTATGAATAGAAGGCCCATCGCAGTTCTTCGATAAATAGAAGACGTTCCACAGGTCTTTTATGGCTAGAAGACATTCTACAGGATTTTTGTAACGTTGTGTCTATAAGGAACCTCCGAACAGTTTTACTTGCTGCGATCCCATATTTAAAAAAAAAAAGTATTAAAAAGGTTAGCTTGACTGTTAATATTTTCGACCAAAATATTTGTCGAACTTTTATCTGCAATATTACCAAAGACGCTATATACCTAAAATCAACAGATTCCAAGAAATTTGTTTTTCGAAATTTTTAAAAAAACATAGAAGAGGGAAAAGTTGCTCCCTCTATTTAGGTTACTTTGCGATGTAAACTTTCAAAACGCCGATACACGTGTCTTATTTCTTAGGTCTATTTTCATAATCCGCTTGATTTTCCCTGTAATTATTTTTGTGTGCTATACAGTTCCGTGGAAAAAAATATGTATTCCACAAAATCCACAAATTATGGGCCTTGCAAAAGATGTCTTATGAATTATTTTCCCTTGAAAAAGACATTCTTATAAAATCCACGAATGGATGGACGTTGAAAAATAATATAAAAACAAAAAGTGAAAAAACAGCAGAGTTCGGCCGGGTCGAACTTTTAATAAATTCCCTCCACCATTTGGAAGGAATTTAAAAAAAATTAAACAACTTCCGAAAAATACCGTTTAAATTATAAACTTTATACGGGGGCTATACAAAGGCGGGTTTAAGTAATTTTTTGTCATAGGCTGTAGTACCTATTTAGATCTTCAAATACGAAATTTGAAACAATTCCGGCGAATAATGTCGCTAAAATCATCAAAATACCGAATAAAGAGAGGAACCGTTATATGGGAGCTATAGGAAGACCTGGATCTGTAAAGACATTTTTTCACAGGCCAAAACAACAAACAATTCCGATGAATAATGTAGCCAAAATGATTTAAATACCAATATATGGGGGTAATTTTCTGCCATTAACTGTAGTACCCACTAGCATCTTCAAATATGAAATTTGAAACAACTAGGGCGAATAATGTAGCTTAAATTATCAAAATACCGAATAGTGAGGGAGGTACTGTTATATGGGGGGTATACCAAAACGTGGACCCATATAGCCCACTTTCAATACCAAAGCAAAGTCCTTAAAATATCCAAAAAATTCTAGAAAAATTAAAATTTAATTTATAAGCCACGATGCCACGAAGCAAAAATGTTTTTTAAGAAATCCGAGAAATTTATGGTCCTTAAAAAACACCATATTATTGGGAAATCGAAAATTTTACCGACTTTTTAAAAAATTTTAATGTCTTTATGTGAAAAGTTCCTTTTTGGGACTATAGACGTTGATGAGTATATTAATACACCAAAACGAAATTTTCGCAATAGGTGGTTTCTTCAGGGTTATTCAAAAAAAAAAAAAAAAAAAAAAAAAATGTTTCGCCTATTGCCCCAAAAAACCTTGTTGCCAGGTTTTATTTAAGATATTCGAAAATATCGACCTAAAACGAAAATAAATAGTTTGAGCTCATCTATAGAATATAGGTTGAATAAATTCGAATTGTTGTACTTTTTATGGGAATAGAACTAATATTTGTATCCAATTCAAAGTTCAGCTTCCTAAAAATAACCTTCAACACCAAGACCCCCCTTTACCGAAATAATTATAAAACAATATATATATATTCTTTTTAATATCTTTCTGTAAAAAAACTCATCACTTTATTGAATAATGCAATACACAAAAGAAACGTTCATTTGTTTGGTTTTTCAAGTTTTTTTTTTTTGTTTTCAAATACTCATTTTTTTCTCATTATTTTGTCTTTTATATTATATATTATATTTGCTTTAACTAAAGGGATCGAAATGCAAGGACATACATAATACAAGGATCCTTGTTTAGGGAAATGAACAAAAAAATATTCAAACAAAAATTTACGATAACTGAAAAAAAAAAAAACAGAACTATGAATGAAATGTACATTCACAGGACAACGATTCGTTTTTTTCTTTTTGTTCTCTTAATACACAATCTATATTATTATTATTTTTTTGCAGCTTCTTCTTATATACTTATACACTTTACTTTCATTTCAAATCATTTTTTTATTTTTTTTTTTTGGTTTGTTTGTTTAGTTTACTGTTTTTGTCAATCTGTCGGATGCAACACAAGACAAGGAGAAAAGAAAAAAGACGAGGAATATAATTTGACAATTCATAGTTGTTTGTTATTTCTGACTGTTGTTGTTGTTCTTGTTAATGTATATATATATATATATATGTATAATGTTTGTATGCTTATTTCTGTTTCGCTTTATACACAATGCTTGAAGGATTTTATTCCGTTTATTTAGGAAAAGATTATAATATCTGTTTTCTTTGTTCATACGAATGGATAGATGCAAGGATATACGGAATAGTTTGTTTGGGGATCAACATAAAGAGCAATACACAACTGATTGCTGGCATCATTCCCCCAAACTCCTGACCTATTCACAGCAACAATAGAAACTAAATAAGAACAAAAAAAAAAAAAAAAAAAAAACAAGTAAAACAACATTATGTTCGGCCGGGCCGAACTTTGAATACCCTCCACCATTTGGAACGAATTTGGAAAGTTTCGAAAAAGATAACATTCGCCAAAAATTCTGTTAACATCTAAAAAATACTTAATATAGCCGTTATATTAGGGCCTGTAGGACGTTTGTAATTAGCTATTACCATATTCAAATTCGAAACTTAAAATAAACGGTGAATAATGTAGCTAAAACCATCAAAATACCGAGTATAGGGAGGAACCGTTATATCGGAGCTATACGAAGACCTGGACCTATATAGACAATTTTCTGTCACATGCTGTAGCTTCCATTACTAACTTTAAATACGACATCTTAAACAATTTCGGTGAGTATTGTACCTAAAAACGTCAAAATACAGAATATAGGGAGGCACCGATATATGGGGCCTATACAAAGACCTGGACCTGCATAGACAATTTTCTGTTACAGACTGTAGTTCCCATTACAAACTCTAAATGCGTAATTTGAAACT